CGTTATTTTTAAGAGGACGGGTTGCCTGCAGACCCCGTCACCCCCTCCGTTGAGGTCTGATAAAGACCTTTTGTGCCCTCTGTAACCTTTTTTGCGCTACCGCTCACAGGATGAGTATGGGGTGAACAATAAACTAGCCGCATCCGGCGGCAAGAAACTTTCTCAAGTATAATTGTGTCATGGATTTTAAAATTTAAACAAAAAACTCATCATAATTAGAATAGGCCGACTATTGAAGCACGAGCTTCATGTGCTTCTGGTACTGGAAAAACAAGCGTTACGAGGAGAGACTAGAGGCGTTAAACATGCTGAAACTAGAACATTGAAAGAAAAAAAGATATGATCACCACTTACAAAATACTAACAGAAATATACCAAATTGACAAAGATGAATTCCTGAAACCAGCAACATCACGAACAAAGAGGACACAGATTCAAGCAAAGCAAACAAAAGTGCCGAAAAAATATTAGAAAGTTTTCTTTTGCAGAGTGGTAAACGGTTGGAACAAGTTAAGTGAGAAGGTGGTGGAGGCCAAAACCGTCAATAGTTTCAAAGCCTAATATGACAAGAGTAATGGGAAGACGGGACACCACGAGCGTAGCTCTCATCCTGTAACTACATTTAGGTAATTACACACGCGCGAGGGGCCTGTGGTCGAGCGGACAGCACGCTGGATACGTGATCCTGTGGCCCCGGGTTCGATCCCGGGCGCCGGCGAGAAACATTGGGCAGAGTTTCTTTCACCCTATGTCCCTGTTACCTAGCAGTAAATAGGTACCTGGGAATTAGTCAGCTGTCACGGGCTGCTTCCTGGTGTGTGTGTGTGTATGGCGTAAAAAAAAAAAGTAGTAGTAGTAGTAGTTAGAAACAGTTGATTGACAGTTGAGAGGCGCGCCGAAAGAGCAGAGTTCAACCCCCGCAAGCACAACTAGGGCTGTACAAAAAAGTACACACTTTTTGTCCTACACACGTAGTACTACACAAAAGTACTACACAGTCTGTACACACAAAAGAGCTGTAAGAATCGTAGGATAATGAAATGAACTGAATGACCATTTTGCAGGAAAAATACGGACTCTATTGATAATTTGAAAAGTACACATGATGGCAAAATAGGTCAAGATTCATTGGATTGTACAGCCGGCGGCTTAGAAAGCTGGGTCCAAGAGCTATAGCTAAATCCGTCAGGCACAAGTAGGTGAGTAGACTTGATATGATCAGGTGCAACAAAGCGGCCGGTAATGGAGAGCTTCCGGCACTCATGCGGGGCGGAATGTTGCCTCTGCTTCCACCACCCAATAAATTATGACCTGGCGAACGTGTGACACACCAGTGATGGTCTGGCGAACGTGTGACATACCTGGTGTGTCACATGCTCGCTGGTGTGTGAGGCGAGGGTCAGGTGTGAGGAGGGGCAGTATTGAGCTGGCTGGTGCCATATTCCTAGCTTATGACACAGGCGTACTTGGTTTACCCTTCCCGGGACCCCCTGAAGGGCATGCTATTTCCACAAGATTAGGCTTCCCTGACGATATATTGGAAATGCCAGACATAGCGGAGGTACGCTGTGTGTCGTGTATATCGCAGCCTCTCACAACCTCTTGTTCCTCATTGCACCAATGTTTCTAACACGAATTTGTTTTCATGAAATATACCCAATATCAGTTATCTTATTTTTGTATATACTTTGCATCACGGACGTGGCAATTCATGTATATAATATTAACCAGTATATATATATATATATATATATATATATATATATATATATATATATATATATATATATATATATATATATTCTGTTCTTTATTTTAATATCACCAACGTGTATCTTTGCGCAATTCGGGTTTGCGCCATATTAGGATCCCAAGTTAAGCACACGTATTGGAGGCTATTTACAACGCTGATCACTGCTGATAGTCTGCTTATTGTGCATACTTCCGGCTCGAGCGTTTATGTGAGAGAATGTGATAAATTTGGAGGTGTTTCCGGTGTTTGCCTGTCAATGATTACCTGTCAGTGAGTACGGGGGTGGGGTTGAGGTCTGAATTTTGATGCCTCGCCTACAAGCTTTGTTGTACCTGTTGTGTTATAATTGAACTGTACTGACGGGAAGGTAGAAATATCCTCAGCTACTCTATCCCTTTGAGATGTATTTTATTGTCTCAATAAACGTACTTGAACTGTACTGACGTTCGGATTCCTTGTCGAATGTGACCTTCAAAGTTGTGACTTCCTCGACCAGTTCTTTAGGTGTAGTTTGCTTCTTGACTACCCTTACAGGATTCTAGTATTTCCTTACTTTTTTTGTTTGACAATGTTCAAATACACTGCCAGACTCCTTTGTCACACTATCGCATTCTCTAAGGTGTTTTTCGTTATCTTTACCTGAAAGGCGGTGGATGACAAAATAGACATTAAACACCAGGCTTTGTGATGCACACAGTTTTTGGAAATCTGATGAAATATTTATGTGAGATGAAATTACCGACTCCGAAAAGCCCTGAAAGTACCAGCATAAAATGCTACTATTTGTTTAGATCTGAAAACTGTATATGGGCAGCACCAATCGTCCACTAGGACGACTGGTGCTGCCTAATGTCGCTGACAACCTGACAACCACATGTCCCTGTGTGACATGTGGTTACAGCGACATGTGGTTGTCAGGATCAGGTTGGGTTACCGTTACCTGTGGCAGGGTAGCAGGCGGCTACCCTGCCACAGGTACAAACTCTGTGAGCAGGAACTATATATATCATGATCTCACACACGAAGAAGGGTAGAAAGAGCCTAAGCTACTTCATCCTTTTGAGATGTATCTTATTATTTCAATAAACATACCATACCAAACATAATAACGAAAGTCATTAGACCTTTCATATCTGCCAGCATGAGGTACCTGGAGCTTTTTAATAACTGTTAACTCTCGTGGATAGCCTCATAATGCACTCAAAATTGTATGTATGTATAGGCTTGTATGACTAACCATCCTGCGAGATGAGGATTTTTATCAACACGTAGCTAACTCGTACATGTAGTCTAGAGAAGCTGTATAGATGCAGTTGTACCCAAATGTACTAATTAAAAAGCGTGTCATTGAGTGATGTGCGCTCGGAGGAGCGCATCAGGACGCAGTGCCTGACGTCCGGACGTACAGTTCAGAGGTTCGAAACCTGCACATAAACGTGAATGATGATTCGTCATGGGTGAAGCCTCGCGGGATGACACACGCACCTTGTGTGGGTGAGCGCTCAGTAACCCGCTGCGCAGTGCAGTGAGAGTAACGGGTCTCTAACCCCTCCCTATCGACCACAGATGAAAATGTTCCTGTACTGGTTACCACTCAACCTGAATGGAACACCTGTGTTAGATCGTAAACTTCGGCCTATGTATTATGTTACTTTAAGAAATGTGTTCATATTTAATTCCTACATCATAGTATATTTATTGCATTTACCCGAGAGCCGCCTTCTCTAGTGGCCTCAGCGGCAACAGGAAGCCACTAGTTTGTCAAAAGTTCCTTCATTATATCCTAAAATTCATTTAGTGACCCGTAGGGTTAATGTTCCTGCACCCGGTCTTTGACCAGTGCTCCTGGTTTGATCCCCTGTACGCATTCTGACGTAGAAATCGCAGCCTGGTTGATCAGGTTACCCTTGGAGATGGTTATCAAGTTCCTTATTAAATACCGAAAGAGGTCGGTTAATTATATCCCTCATCTTTAGAGGGAGGTTATGAAAATGCCTTCGGCCTCCAATGTTAATAGAATTGTTACTAAGATTACCTGTTGCACTCTTACCTTTTTCAACGGGGCTTTTTTTTACACATTGTCATGACTCTTGGTCGCGTACAAATTAATTTAGTGTGCAGTTTTGAAACCAGTTTCTCTAATATTTTCCAGATGTAAATTATCATCCATCTCTTGCGTGCGATCTATTGATCACAGCTTGAGGAATTTTAAGTGGTCCCAATAATTTAGATGTTTTACTTAATTCACGCAGTGAAAGTTCTCTGCATGTTCTCCAATTGTATTTTAAGCTGGTTCACGGCTGTGGCGTGTATAGGCCATTCTGTGAGTTTAGCTATGGGTGAAAAACATATATTATGTTCTACAATGTTACTTGTCGAGCTTAAGTCGTTGCCTCTTGTGTGAATTACATTGAACATTTTAAGGATGTGGTCTGGATTAATATCTTCCATTTCGTTTAGTATTTTAAGTTTTTTTTTAGGGGGCGGAGGGTAAAGGAAGTCCATAGATGAATCTTTCTGTAGTAAATGCATAAAACGAGTACATTGTTGTTGTTTGACATTGTTTATTTCCCGTTTCAATAACATGTAATCTAGTATTGTTTGGCATTACTTGATAATGGTGAACATTGTATTAATTAAGTGGGTAATGATGTCATTGATGTGGTTCTTAAGCTATATCTTGTTTGGTTCTTAAGCTATATCTTGCTCTGGTTAGGCCCCATTTAGATTATGCAGTTCAGTTTTGGTCGCCGTATTATAGAATGGATATAAATTCACTTGAACGTGTCCAACATAGGATGACTAAGTTAATTCCCCAAATTAGAAATCTTTTATATGAAGAAAGATTAACAAAGCTTAAAGTTGCATTCACTGGAAAGGCGAAGAGTTAGGGGTGACATGATAGAGGTTTACAAGTAGATGAATGGACATAACAGGGGGGATATTAATAGGGTATTAAAAATATCAACACAAGACAGAACACGACACAATGGGTATAAATTGGATAAGTTTAGATTTAGGAAAGACTTGGGTAAATACTGGTTCAGTAACAGGGTTGTTGATTTGTGGAACCAATTGTCGCGTAACGTGGTGGAGGTGGTGTCCCTCGATTGTTTCAAGCGCGGGTTGGACAAGTATATGAGTGGGATTGGGTGGTTATAGAATAGGAGCTGCCTCGTATGGGCCAATAGGCCTTCTGCAGTTACCTTTGTTCTTATGTTCTTATGTTCTTATTGTTTCTTTGCAGCGTAATGAGTAGCCCGGGCGCCAAGGACGGCGGGGGTGGCAGTAATGGGGGTCCGGTCAAGAGCTGGGTACAGTTCGAAGAGGAGGACGGGAACCACCAGTCAGTAGCTAAAGATGGCAGTACGCCTGCTGTTATTGATGCTCAGTCAGTCCAGGTAAGCCACATTCTGCCTGTCATAATGACCCAACACACAGACACACACACACACTCACTCGATCACTCACTCACTCGAACACTCACTCACTCGAAGCGTTATATGACAAAGAGTGCTGGGAAGACGGGACACCACGTGCGTAGCTCTCATCCTGTAACTACACTTAGGTAATTACACTTAGGTAATTACACACACACACACTCACTCACTCGCTCGCACACTCTCTCTCTCTCTCTCTCTCACTCACTCACTCAGTCAATAACCTGTCTGTTAAAAGACAAAAAAAGAGATGAAATACTTCAAGAGTCAGAGAGAGAGAGAAAGACCTGGGGGTTGATATCACGCCAGACCCGGCACCTGAAGCTCATATCAAGAGGATAACATCAGCGGCATATGCCAGGTTGGCTAACACAAGAACGGCACTTAGAAACTTGTGTAAGGAATCTTTCAGAACAACATATACCACATATGTCAGACCAATCCTGGAGTATGTGGCTCCAGCATGGAGTCCATATCTAGTCAAGCATAAGACTAAACTGGTAAAGGTTCAAAGGTTTGCCACCAGACTTGCCACAAGGAGTGCCGGACCAACCGGGCTGTGGTGGGTATGTGGGCCTGTGGGCCGCTCCAAGCAACAGCCTGGTGGACCAAACTCTCACAAGTCGAGCCTGGCCTCGGGCCGGGCTTGGGGAGTAGAAGAACTCCCAGAACCCCATCAACCAGGTATCAACCAGGTATCAACCAGACTAGTACCCGGGCTGAGAGGTGTGAGCTACGAGGCGAGACTACGGGAATTAAACCGGTGTTGGACGCCGGTTAGGCGCCAGTGGACGTGCCATGGACACACACATGGGGTGACCTAATACCCTCTTCTGATGATGGAGATGCATGCTGGGGAGGGGTCAGTATTCAACCTTTGGGGGAACCTCGATAGAAGCCTAAAAATATATATACGTATATACACAGGCTTACTGTCTTCAACAAAACAAATTTAAGAGGAGTGTAGAACAGACATTGTTAATTAGGTCAAAATCTGGCAAAGCCTCAAGAATGTGTGGAGTAACAGCAGATATATTACAATTGAGTTTAGTTTGGTTGTCCAAAATATGCATGGTGGCTTTCATGAATGGCATCAGATGGCCTGAACCTTGAGCATGGTTAAGTAAGTAAGAATTTTGAGTAAGAATGAACATAGAAATTATTGGGGAATTTATTTTTGGGACATACTTTGAAAGGTGTTTGGAAGAATTGTACACAGTAATTGCAATTGTTGAGGGGATGTAATTATCAAGAATTCAGTGTAAGTAGACTGTTTGCTGTAAAGATGATAAAAGAAATTACAGTACTGCATGCACACTGTTAGCATTGAAAATTTATTTGTATATGGCATTCATGAATGTAAATGAAGAGAAATTAGAGAAGACCACAGACAAGTTTATTGAGTGGGTCAATAGAAATGCTCTATTGTCTTAATTTTAGACACTACAGTGGTTTGGAAATGAACAAGAACAGCTTGATGATTAAATAATAAAGAATTAGGAGGATTAATAATGGGTAGACAACCTACTCATTGAAAACAGTGGAGTATTATTCAGGGGTATATAATGGTCAGACCATACTTAGTTAAGGCTCTTTGGAGGTCTTTCTCTTTTGAGTACTCATTAGGGGAGCCCCTTGCAGATTTTTAAAGTACAGTATATGATAAGTGAATGTTTCAGGTGAGCTTGGAGAACCACAGTAGCCCAGAGAAAACCCTAACAAAAACAATATCGGAACCAGCCAATGGCGTTCGCAAGCCATCTGTTACATCTCTAACAACACCCACAAGCATCTCGTCCAACACAGGAGAAACTCGGGTCTCTATGTCACAGCTCAGTGCTTCACAGCTTCACAATGTGCCTCTAAATGACCCTTCAGCACGACCTCCAGCTAATGCTCAGCCTGTAATCAGACAAGGCTTTTGTAAGTATTCAAAAAGTATACTACTTTTGTAATAGTAAGTATAGGTACCGGTATATAAATACAGTACTCTTGCTAATTTCATCCCCTATCACAATAAGGCATCAACTGCTGCATTTAAGATCCCACAAAAAAGTGGAGTACTGTATTTTATTTTACAGTACTATACAGTATTCTTATTTTGTTTCACTACAGCTCAAAGTGTCAATCAATGGTGATGTAGTGAAACTTCAAGATATAAATAGAAATTATTTGTAGATAATTTTGCCTGTAAGGGGCTTTATCAAATGTAAAGGTTCTTGCCCTGTGTATCTCTGTTAGATTTGGTATACCAATATTGGAAACAAGAGGCCTATTAGGCTTATCAAATTTTTTGTAGCCAAGAGTTATACTCTGCGGTTACCCATCTAATTTCTCACCACACACAATGTTATTTTCAAATAAATTCTATGCTGATTTTGGTATTTCACTAAAATACAGCATGCTGTAATTGTAAAAGTAGTATGCCATCAGATATAGATATCTATGAAGTCTACTGTATTGGTTCAAGTAGATGTCTATTACATGGTACGATAGTTAGTAAGCCATAAGTTGCTACTTGCCATCACCTGATGTAACTCTAAAGACAGCATTTTAATGCACAAATTTACAATACCAATTCAACTTTTTCAGCAAATGGTGATGTGATAGTTACCTTATTGCCCCAGAACACTTCAATGCCTTGGATTACTCCAGCTCAGTTTCGTCCTGAGCTCGTACCAGAAGAATTGATGGCACAGGGTTTGACGGTGAGTTTGTGTGGGACTTTAATATTTTGTATATTGCCCTTAGGTGTTACTGTATCACAGTATTTGGATTCAGAAAGAGCATGTATTTGTTGGAACCAATATATTGCAATTTGAGAGTATCCAAGGCTTAGTTTAAACTTTACTGTACTTCAAGCAGATGTATGAAAATCTAGGAACTTGTGTGTGCAAAGTTTTTTTTACATTGTATCAATTCCCAAGTTTAGTTAGATATTCCATCTGTAATTACAGCAGTTGCATCTGCGAACTCTTTATTAAATATGTTCATGTAATCATGAATACAGTATTATCTGTTTATGTGGATTATTTAGTCGAGTCCCCAAGGTACTTTTAACGTTCAACTGTAATTTTATGTCCACAGTTGACAGTGGAAGACTACGTTCACATAATGTCCCAGCTAGTTAATGACTACCGATTCACGTTGTACAGTGTGTGCTACAAGCGCATTTTGATGGCATGGATTTTTCTCGGGTTCGCCATTCTGCTGTGTATTCTCTTCTCTGGTCTGTCACAACTTGCATTGTTTGGAGCAGGCATTGCATGGTTGATGATAAATGCAGCAGCTATATTTTTCTGCATGTGGGTAAAAATTAAGGTAAGAAAGGAGTTTAGACATTTATAATAGTGTCTAATTTGTACTTCTCTGATTATTTTTATCTGAATTGTTAATGTTGTTGAAAATTGACAATAAAACTCTGTCAACATTCTTTCATGTTTATATTAAAACTGTTTTGTTGGATTATGCTTGAGAATAAATATTTAAATTATATACTGGATATTGAAAAGTACTTGTACAGTATACTGTATTAGTAGAAAACTTAAATTTGTTTTTAGTAAAACATTTAAAATCCAAAAAAGTACAGCACTGTGCTGTATTAAAGTAGGTTTAAATAAATATTATATTGCATGGATTTTTTTCTTTAAATGAGCCATATATACTATAGATTTTAGATTATATGATCAGTAAATTGAAAATAAATATTTCATCAGATAAATTTTCTCAAATATTGCAATACAGTATTTTAGTGTAAGTTTTCAAGGAAGTATTTGGCCTATAACAGGATTTTTAAATTTGTTTGTTTTCAATTAATTTTAAACTTTACAGTAGATGCCAATATTTTTAAATAAAATTTTTATTCCCTTTAGTTCCTAGATAGAGTACTCTACTGTATAAGGAAAAGCTTTTTTTATTCATAAACTGTAGGGTACTGAACTCTAAAATTCCATTGATTATTAACTTTATTCCTTTTACTATTTGCCAATCAGCTAAATAAATCTCTGGAGCAGTGCTTAGCAGAAATCAACATTCAACTACTCCGACATAAAATTATCTTGGGCCTTGACGACCGGGGTAAATTGTCTTGCCATAAAGTCAATCTTTGCTTCATCTACTTTGATACACATGACTGTGTGGTAAGTGCATAACTTTGATACTTTATTACCCGACTCTTATGCGTTTATTCATACAGTGATGTTGTTCTACATTACAAGTACAGTAAAGACAAATTCTATCCTTACCTTACCTTTATGACCGTTGATAATGATAATGTTTATTTAGGGAAAAGTACATACATACAAAATGAGTTACAAGCAGAAAGTTGGATTTCTAGATAGAGCAAGACTATGTAATGTATATTTACCATGCAAAGTGATAAGTAGTACATTTTGATTAAAATACACTTTTCCCAGGCCAAATTGCAAGAGATTATTGAGCAAGAAGAACGTGCCGGCCGTAATGTTAATAATGATGAAGCAAAGTCGACACCGCTACGTGACCGCATGGATATTGACGATTCTGACATCATTATCACTGGAGCCACTAATACACGCATCTCACGACAGCAAGTATGAAAATTATTGTCATTATGTCATAGATAATAATTGTAATTTTGGTTTTCCACACAAGGTGAGTATATGCACTAACATAATTGCTTTGGAAAATGAATGTGCTTAATGTATTTAGTAAGTGACCACTTAGTTTTTGCATTCATTAATCCTGTTGCGACTCCATACATATCAAATCAAACCTGCCCATTTTAGTTTTTTATTAATATATAACAAATGTAAACATCTTAAATAATTACACAACGAAATCACAATAACGTGATTTAACTATGAGAGAGACTATTGTAAGGGACAAGAGGCCCATGATTAGACTTATCGAGCCCCCACCTTCCTCCCTCTAGGTCAACTACTCATCTTCTGTAGGATGCAACCCACAACACTTGACTAACTCTCAGGTACCTATTTACTGGTGGGTGGACAGTGGCATCAGGTGAATAAAAACATTCCTATCCATTTCTGTACCACCTCTGGATGGAACCTAGGATTGTGGATTGTGAGTCAAAGACATAAACCACTATACTGTACTACTGTATCAACATTAATTAATGGTACTATAAATTTATACTCCCCTAGTTGTGCTTGTGGGGGGTTGAGCTCTGGCTCTTTGATCCGCCTTTTCAACTGTCAGTCAACTGGTGTACAGATTCCTAAGGCTACTGGGCTCTATCATATCAACATTTGAAACTGTGTATTCTTTCTAATGTCTCTGTGCTCATTTGTATACTCAGTTTCCACCTGTGTCCCCTTGTGTGTGTACCACCCATGTTAAATAATCCATCCTTGTCTCCACTGTCAATTCTCCTGAGAATTTTGTATGTGGTGATCATGTCTCCCCAAGCTCTTCTGTCTTCCAGGGATGTGAGGTGCAGTTCACTCAGCCTTTCCTTGTAACTCGTGCTACTTAGGTCTGGGAATAGCCTAGTGGCATACCTTTGAACTTTTTCCAGCTTTATCTTGTGATTGACAAGGAATGGGCTCCATGCTGGGGTTGCATACTCCAGAATTGGTCTTACATATGTAGTATACAAGGTTCTGAAAGATTCTTTACACAGGTTTCTGAAGGCAGTTCTGATGTTAGCCAGCCTCGCATATGCCGTTGATGTTATTTATTTGATGTGGGCTTCAGGAGACAAGTTTGGCATGATATCAACTCCTATATCTTTCTCTCTGTCCATTTCATGAAGAACTTCATCTTCCATTTGGTATCCAGTGTCTGGCCTCCTATTTCCTCCGCCTAGTTTCATTACCTTACTTTTACTAGGGTCGAACTTTAGTAGCCATATGTTGGACCATTCCTTCAGTTTGTCTAGGTGATCTTGTAGCCTCATGCTATCTTCCTCTGTCTTAATCCTCCTCATAATTTTTTAATCAGCAGCAAACATTGAGAGGAACGAGTCTATTCCCTCTGGGAGATTATTTACATTTACTGTATCAGAAACAGTATAGGTCCAAGGACTAAACCCTGTGGGACTCCACTGGTGACGTCTCGCCACTCCAAGACCTCACCCCTCACAGTGACTTGTTGCTTCTGTTGCTTGGGTACTTCCTTATCCAATGGAGTACCTTTATATATGGATACTGATGTTTGGGCGTCACTTTTTTTGAGTACAATGTCCAGCTGAGTAATGGAAGACTGCTCACTTTATGAAACATGGAATGATGAAAGGACAATGACCAAAATGATCTTCAGCAAAATTATGCTTATCACTAGGTTAGTAAAGATGATATAAATATCTTTCAAATAAATAACATGGATACAAATAACTGGTTGGGACTAAACAGTTAATAGCAAAAATACCCAAAATAGAATTTGATAAACATTATTCAAGATTAACAGACTAAGATAATAGAACTGGAACTTTTGTACAGGAAGCACATGAATACACAGATGCAAAAATATTAGTGGTCAAATTAGAATAACATTTTCACAAAGTTGAATGTGTTAATGTGTAATTATGTATAGAGTACTGCACATTGTCTGTTTTGTCTGTTTTGTAATATCAAATGCTGACTTTCCATGTCTATTAAATGTCATGCACGTAGTCTGGCTCAGCTCTCATTGCAGCGTCTTAATCAAAGTATGCTTCGAAGCTTAGATTAATACCAATTTTTGTTGTTGTATTTTTTATTGTTTTGCATTCCAAAGCATAACAAATGATCTCTTAAATTTGATATGCCAGTGCATGTAGCATGGAGGTCTGCATGTTTTGCAGGAGAGAGCGGAGCTTCTGCTCACCCGCTACAGCCAGCGTTGGGCCAAGGACTTCCTTCGCAAGAGACTGGACTGGGCTTTTGATGCATCGGCCCGCCTGGAGGGTCTATCCCCACCCGTGTCTCCTCGCCATTTAGCCACTGCTCGCTGCCCCTGCCAGTACATTGAGGAACACCTGTCAGTCAAATTACCGCGCCAGCAGCGGGCTTCCCGTGCACAGTGTGCTTGCATAACACGGTTCTGCCAAGAGGCTGAATTATAATGGATATTTTTAGAGCTGATTCTTGAAGACAATGCCTGCAAGCTGCTTGTAAAAAAAATTATATATATATATCATATTTCCCTTGTAAAAATCAAGTTGCTGCTTATTGCTATTTTTAACCATAATGACATAAATTATAAATGTATATTTTTTGTTAACAAATTTTAAACCTGTTTCCCTATGTATAATAATTTTAAAGTTTTGTAACTGCATGGAAATATCTGCCTCATCATACTGGATATATTTTGTCATCCTCAGTGTTAATTGAGGCAGGAAGGAGGGTTTCCATATCCACATGTATGTAAGCTATAAGAACACTTTAGTAGCATGCATGAATACACTTGCATGAATTATGCGTAAACGTTAAGCCGAGACGCCACATGTCTTGGTGTAGATGCCATATCCTGCATCACTAGATTATCTGGTGATTGGACATGTCACTGGAACTTTGGTTAAGTTGTGTGTACTCTTGTTCAACATGGTGACACAAGACTTCTTGATACTAAGAATTATTACATGTGATGGTAAGGTCCATTATTTTAATGGTCAGTGTTCTAATGTGCAACCACAAAAGGAAGTATAATAGTATGTATTTTATTTAGAGCACAGGCAGCTTTAGACTAGTTGTGCTCTCTTTAATGTTTAGAATTTGGGTAAAGATTAGAAATTCAAAATTCTTAGAGCTTTCATGACCTTTAAAGAAATTTGTAATAGTTTACCAGCTTTATCACTTAATTGTGAATTTTCTTTAAGTGTTTCTTTCCTCTTTATTTATTCTGTAGACAGATTTTATTAGCGATAACATTTGGCTGCCCCCTAAGGTAAGTTCTGCTTTATCAGTTGGACATAATCATGTAGTCAGAAAAGATGACATAATGCCATTGGTGTATGGGAATCACAGCATACAAAATATGGCACCTAATTCAGACTAGAATCACTGATTGGCATACCTACAAAAAACTGAAATCCTTTTGAGACCTTCCTTGAAGTAGCTGTTAAAGGAGGACTCTTAACTGATGGTCGATCTGCCAATCTACCCACACTGACAATCACCCGGCAGCACACTAGGACAACAACTGTCTCCATGCCAGAGGTCATTATAGGTTGATTGGCTTCTAGTTTGCAATTATTTGCAATTAGTATTGGAGAATCATTGACTATCCTTTTAGAAGTTCAAGTGGCTGCTTGACAGGCTGAACTTTACCTAATGAGGTGTACCCTCTTACTTACTTACTTGACTTTAGGAGTTAAAATTGTTTGATTTTTTTAACTGCTTGCTCAATGCCAGCTAAAGGATCACAATGTTTGCTTCCGTCTGGTCTTGAGAAGTCTGATTCATTATAGGGTTCTGATTTTGGCTTTTTGAAGTTCAGTCCATTGGAAACTTGCTCCCCATCTTTCAAACTCTTCAGCCGTATTTCTTATTTGGGCTGGCCATTTGGCATTGGCTATTGTCTTGCAGGTCAGTAGCATTAACATCCTACTGTGGCTTGGGGCACACATCATTGCTTGAGGGTTGGTGGCAGTTTGGTTGACATTGAAATGCTTGCCTTTCCTATGTGGCTCAAGATATTCATCTTGACTTTGAAAACACTTTGAGAATTACAGATTAATCACACTATCATGATGCATCTATGAGAAAATCCGTAAGAACTGTGATGAGGGTTCGAACCTATGCACTGGGTGTTCCCAGGCACTTTCTCTAGACAACTATGCCACAAGATGGTAAAAGGATTGCAACCTTTGGTACTACTGCATCCTCTAGGATTCCTGATGCTTCAACTGAAGCCAAACCAGAGTTTCACACAATCTCCCCCATGCACTCAGACTCCGTCATCTAGGAATATTCTACTTCTGATGCTAGATGATAATGAAACCTGCAGATAATGAGTCACAATAGCACAGCTGAAGAGTTGACACTCGACCCACACATCTGAAAATGAATAACCAACAACATTTTGGTCTATCATAGATTATTATCAACATTGTCGGTTCTTTATTGTCAGATGTGCGGGTTGGGATGTCAGTTAGAAACCACTTTTGGAAAGAGAGGTTAAGAATGTTTAATCTGCATTCTCTTGAAAGACGAAGCATATAGATGAGTGAACAGTTATAAAAAGGGCAATATTAATAAGGGACTAAATATATCAACACATAATAGAACACAAAATAATGGATAAGTCTAGATTACGAAAGGACCTGCATATACAGCATTCTTCTGTTTTTGGTATAATGTTGTTAGTTTTTTAACAAATTAGCTGGTAACTTAACAGCCAATGAATTACAGAATTGTTCCAAGCTCTGGTTAGAAATATATATATATTCGAGGGAATTGCACTTCCTTGCTTGGAACCAATAGGCTTTTTGCAGTTTCTTATGTTGAATGCACTTATCATCTACAGTGTCATGCCTAATGCCAGTAAATATTTACAGATTATACTTTGCATTATTCTTTACAGTACATGTATCATTATTTGTTAAATGATTAATACTCTTAAATATTTAATTGTCCATGCTTTTAATGCCTTGTTCCCTCTGGGTGCTTACAATTTTTGAGGGAGTGGCTACATGTAGATTCCTACTTTTGATGTTTCAAATATCTTAAAATTCCAATCTAAACTCAGTCACCAAAATTATTTATTAAAGCTGTAAATGCTAGTTTGGCAATGACACAAGTGAAGCATTTGGGACATTTTTTTGCATTAGAAAGTGAGAATCTGTGGAAGAATGAGGACTGCTCTTAACAAGCACCTACAAGTGAAAAGGTTGAAAGGGAACTAAAGCCTACGTTGAAAGGTACGATTTAAGGGCAACAAGATTACAGTTGTACACCTCCTTGTGGACTGTCCTGATTCTTAGGATGATAAGTCTTGCTTTCTCATTGTCCCTCTGGGTCACTTGTCTCTCAGAAGAATCCTTTGTGAATCATATACCGTTGATGTCACTCTGCTTATGTTTTTTTTTGTTGCTCTCGTATTGGTATCCTGAGAAATATAGTCTTCCTGGTTTGGTACCTCCTTTTGATAATTACTTATTTTAGAGGTAAAAAAAGGTAGATACCAGGAAACGATAATTACTTGAAATAGCAGCATTAATATGGACGGAAAATAGGAGACCAATAAGGAGGAACTACAGTGAATATAATCCAAGAAGGGAAACCATGTGCTGAGTAACACAAGTACTCCTGTGCCTTACTCACTGTAGTACCTCCATTAGAATTTACAATTAATTAGCTTTACTTATTATTTGATCATTGGTTTTGAGCCAATTTTTCAAATAGTGTTAAATGTGCGACTACAGCCTAATCATTATGTTGAGTGGCATCACTTTGGGTAGTAAGAATGATCTAATACAGGCTATTGACATTATTTGCCAATTCTTTTTTTTTTTTTTGCCAAAGCAAGTAGCACTACTAATTATTGTGATGTATTTTGCTTCCTAGGTTGAGCTTTATTTCTTTAAATTTATTATTTACAAATAATTTGGCATATACGTACATGGTTTTCCTACCTAAGTTGAGAATAAGAATTGAACACTTACGTGTGTGTGTGTTAATGTTTTCTGTGGTATATGAAGAACTTGGAACAACCAGTATTTTGCATACATTAAAGTACCCTCAGACAAGTTACAAATTGTCTATAGCTTATAGGCTATAAATCTTATTATTCCGTCCTTTACTCTTCATTCCGTCCTTTACTCTTCATTCCGTCCTTTACTCTTCATTCCCTCCTTTACTCTTCATTCCGTCCTTTACTCTTCATTCCCTCCTTTACTCTTCATTCCCTCCTTTACTCTTCATTCCCTCCTTTACTCTTCATTCCGTCCTTTACTCTTCATTCCGTCCTTTACTCTTCATTCCGTCCTTTACTCTTCATTCCGTCCTTTACTCTTCATTCCGTCCTTTACTCTTCATTATACTGTAGTACAGTGCGTTCAATTAAAGTATCACAGGGAACATGAAAATGAGAATGTTCTCTGCATCGTGTAGGTTCTTGTACTTAAGCATTTGCTCAAAGATATCTCTATTTTTGTCCATGTCTTTTGTAATATAGTTTGCTTACTAACCTGCTTATAATACCTGGTAGGACACATGAAGGAAAGTTGTAATACTGTTTGCCACATTTATGTATGCAATTGTCTACCATGGAGTATCTGCTAAAAATGCTTAGTTTGCTTTTAAATGTAAGTAATTGAATAATAATTAATTCTAAAATAGTATACAAATAATATAAGTTACATGTATGACAGTGGTAATTTTAACACAACTGAAGCAGCTCAGCAGAACCTATATTAAATCTTACAAGTAATCATTTGGTGTACCATTTGGCCGTCTTGTATATGTATATCTCGGCAGTTTGTTTTCAAGGTGTTCCAGTCTTAATATTTGTAGCAATGCTTCCATTATGAACTTAGAGATGACTAAAGGCTTAACACAGAATTTCAGGAATTATTGCTCATTACTCAATAATTAAAACATCTGAATTTAATATCTGCCATATACAATTTGAATGTTAAAAGTACAGTATTATTATAAACAGATTTAAACCTTCAGAATGAATTGTATATTTTATTTTATGGCAGTTCTTAAAATGTTTTTGTTATTGTGTATGTATGTGTGTTGTGTGTGTATAGACAATATGGTTGTGTGTGTAGATGGACTTTTGAGCAAATTTCCTTTCACCTGATGTGCTGTTCACCTAGTTGTAACTAGGGACCTGGGAGTTGGACAACTATCGTAGGTTGCATCCTAGGGAGGGTGACAGTGTGAACCCATAGGGAGAATGATATTATCTTCACTATGATAAGCTTGTATACCGGTGCATGTATTTAGAAATACTGTAATAAAATAATGACTAATTTGTTTAAAGCCTTGTTCTAGTACTCTCTAAATTTATGAGTGTAAGATATAACAGACTGTGCTATGTGGTTCTCAATATTTTAAAATCTTGCTGAATGAATATATTTTGCTTGAACTTAAGCAACATAAAGGAACAAATTTCTGTATGTCCCTTGGCCCAGAGCTAATTGGACTGTCAAAAAAAAATGGTGTCAGGTTTGTACATTTACTTAAAATGTGAAATACAAAAATTAACTAACATAAATTTGCAGATTTAGTTATTAAATGCTCATTAATTTCTTTTAATGCAATCTTTGAATAGTTTTCTGTGATATAGGAATTAAATGTTGATAACAATGTGTTTATTGTATCTGTGTTGGTATGCTGAGTAAAAAATTTATAATTTTCATGTGTGAGATTAGTACAAACCTTTAATACATTGATCATAATCATACCTGTATGTCCACCACAATGAGTAATACAGGTATTTGCTTATGCTGGCTTCTTGTGGGTTTAAGTCTATGTGGTGTGTGTGCTGTTCATAGTGCTGAATGTGGTCACTTGCATCTGCTGGTTTTGAAATTTCAAGAAACACTAATGCACCTCTGCGTTACAAACTTTTGTATGGGGAACTTGTCTGTTCTTCATAGTTGCATTGGGACTTGCTAATTATTTATATATGAAGTTTTTATGAAGCAGATCTTTCAAAGGTTAATAAATACTATTCTCCAATTCTTAGTCATTATTATGACTAAGAATTGTATTCCATCAAGAGCACAGTTTTTTCAGTGTTAATAATATGCAAAACCATTTGCAATAATTCCAAAAAAATGTAAAGCAATATTGTAGGACTAGAAACTGGCTCTCTTTATGAGACAATGAGAAATGGGGATCAGAGACCAACAAACAAGTAAGAAAAATCCACCAGAAAGCATATGCTCAATAAAACATGCAACTGCCTCAAGAAAATTAGGCACCTACTGGTAACGAGACAAACGAATGTTGTTACAGTGTAAACATCCTAACCATGATGATGCACCTATTTATCACCAGGTGGCAGCTCAAGTCACCTGGGGTTCCCATCAACCCACCACTTCACTCGCTTTGCTATAATCTCAGAGTACGGTACCTCAGACGAGTCCCACCCTCTGCTTCATCACAGTTAGGGTGTTTACACTATGGCAATGTGTAAAAAATGTGTTTTTCATATTACTTCCGGGCACCTAACTTTCTTCAGGCTTGTTTCATTTTGCTTATGCTTTACTGATAGAAATTTGTTTGGTTTAGAGTTGATTTCTGATTTCAGCTCCCTGAAATCAGCATTTGAAGTTAATTTCAGGTTCATTGAGGTCAGTTTCTGGTCCTGACTCTTGGTAGGGAAGTGTGGGTCTCAGATGCCTGGTGTATATCCATAGGGCTCAGCTGACCAGTTCTCATCTTGGCAAGGTACTGAGGGTTCACAAAAAAAAATATATAACTTTCAAAGCTTGATTTTTCAGAAGAATATTAATATATTGAAATAAGACCAAAATAGTATTAAAATAGTATACACCATACTACTGTATATCTAATTTTATTATATTATTAGTATACATTGATAAATTTAGATTCAGATTCAGATTTAATAAAAAAAATTCAAAGTTAAATATACTGTACAGGGTACAGCAATAATATATTGCACTAACAATAAAGAATGCAAAACTGAATTTATATCTTAATGCACCCTTTGTCTCGTAACAGACCTTCATAGAGTATTGCTTCATCTATCTAGTGCAGTGCTGTGTGGTAGAAGACTCAAGTTATTACAATATCGTGGTGGGCTGCACATTTTATGGCGTGGGTCCTGGGGTCACCGTGAATTTATTCGATAAGATCAGTGTCAACGAGGGCTTCTTTTGAAATTCTATACAGCTTCTCTGAGGCAGTGGTATTGAATTCTCTGTTGACTGTCTGATCGTGTAGAATAAATTTGTGATGTACCAGGGGTCACTGTAAAGTGCACTACAAGCCACAACAGTAGCTTCACATTTCATGCAACCCTCTGATAAGCATTTAAAATGTAACGTACCCAGGCTTGTTGTGGCATTATGGAACGTAAATATGGTATTTTACCATTGTTTTCTAGTATAAATATTGGAACTCATTAATTCTATTTTATATTTTCTTGGAATACAGTATATACCCACATCTGTATAGTGAATTCAGAAATTTAATATTGTGTTATTTGTTAACATTGTTATTTAATTGCTGATATTTACCATTTACCAGGATAGAGCACGTTTACTGCTGGCACGATATAGCCAGCGGTGGGTGAAAGCTGTAGTCCGAGGAGCTTTGTCTATTGTTCCTGGAACTAATGAAGTGGGCATTTCCCCAGCATTACCTCCTCGCCATTGTTCTACTAGACAGTGCTTGTGTCAATACATTGAAGACCATCTCCACTACAAGCCTCAAGGTTTGTGCAAGCTCATCTGCACCTTCTGTATCCTTCCTGATGTCAACTGAACATCTGAGCACTGGTGAATTCTTATCTGGGTTTTCCTGGAACTAAATGTATTAACCTAGTGAAACCTCGTTAATTAAAAATATTTTATGGTAATAAAAGTATTTCATGGTAATAAAAAGTATCATATGGTAATATAGTATTATGTTTACTTGTGAAGATAAAAAAATAAATATCAAATTATCGAGGCTTCTCTATCTGGGCAGCTGGTGCTTTACCCTCAAGATTTGCTCTTCCCCCACACTACCCTGTTGAGTATGTCAAGTGGAAATGGGCAGTTCTGTGGATTCTTGTGGGTCCAAGTTGTATTCTAACTCATCATATCTCAGTAGATGGCTAAAGAACTACCCGAGACCTCAGCCATCAGTTTTTGTAATATAATAGTACATCTGTAATAAAATAGATGGTATCTCATAAATCCACAGAACGTTTTTTCTATCCTTTTTATTTCCACCTATCCTTATTAACTTCGTGCACAGAACCCTAGAACATCAAATAAAGTCAGTGACTGACAATTTACTGTTCTGGATTCTGGATTTTCTTTGCAGTCTATAGTCACCTTTCGCATTCTTGGGTGTATTCAGATTTCTTATTCAGTACTTTTTATATATTCTTGTGTTCTGCAATATTTCAATTTCATTTGTGTATTATATAATACTTGCTATTCAGTAATGTACTGAGCTGTAAATATAAAAACATTCTTCAGTATTCTTGGACAGTATCTTTTATCTGAATCTTCTTTGTTAATGGATAAGGCCCTCGTCTGATTGTACAATATTGTCAGACTGGAAATGTATACTATATTGTATATGCAAAGGATTGCTTCGAACTACAAATACAGTTGCTTTAAATATACTTTTGACTAAAGTGCATGAAAAATCTTTCAACTCTTTCACTAATGAAACTTTAAGATGATTGGCTTATTGTTGGAAGTTTCCTAATTTGTTAAATTGAATCTAATTGGCAGGGATATGATGCATGATGATATGCTTCCATAATCATTCTCCTTTAAAACAAAGTCAAATAAAGCAAATAATCTTGACAGGCAAATATATGCTCTCACAGTATTCAGAATTGGCTTAAAAGCATGTTTTACACACTTGTGGCCTGTGTGTTGAGCATAGGACATTCATTATCTTATTGACGTTTTAATAAAAAATGTATAGAGTAATGTGAATTATAAGGATTGACTCTGAAAAGTCACTGCACTTAAGAAAATTATTTATTTACTGTACATACTCAGCACATTTTAAAAGTGAGAAAATAGCTTTTATTGGCTATTACCTGAGAATATCAAAAAAATCTGTTTCATCAGTACTGTTTTGAAGTACAGTAGATGTAATTATAATTTTTTTTAATATAAGAGGGACCATAAACTGTACTTTGTTAAACAATGTAAGCATATTAAGGACTATCCTGTACTGGGTATCCTCTTTTATGTATTTTTTTTTTTTAGATATTTAAAATTTTAATATTAAAACTTTATTTTATTATTTAAGTTAAGTAAATTATATAGTTGTTGCTTGTGGTATGATGTGCTGTGTCCTCTGGATGGACAAGGATAACATGAAGTCCGGCAGGTGACGTCCTCACCATTAGTGCCACAAGGAACTTTACAGTCCAAGATAACCTCAAGAAGTCCCTACAGGCTCATAAATAATGCTCCAGGGATCACTGGAGATCAGCTCAACCCAGCCGAGAATGTCTGACAGAAGGTACATTATATGAAACTCGGAAACACTTAAGAGTTTTTTGGGGATCAATTGAAACCACAGATGAGGACCTCTGGTACTATATTTCATAAGAATGGCATGAGACATGCTGACATTTCTCATACAGTCTGAAAGACTGTGGTCTATGTGGATCCTGGGGACCTTAGCGTGGGTAAGACACTGTCATCTGTAGGCAGTTTTGGGTCTTAGTTGACAGGCAAAGACTGTGGACAGTTGGGTAGAGGTCTCATTTGGCAGTTTTATTTGAGCCCAAGAAAGAGAACTCTTACTTGACTCTTGAGTTTACATGTAATGTACCATCTGCCACTCATTCTAGATTTGGTTGAGCTGGTCTTCAGTGTCTCCCCAGAATTAATAATGACTGCAGGAGCTGTTTGTAAAGTTCTCTGTAGCACTGATGCCGTGAATGTCATGTTTCATAAGCCTTCTTCCATAGTACACAGCACATCTTACTGTAAGGGGGTATTGTGAATACAGAAGCTCAGATAAACATTTATTGTCAAGTAAGTTCTTTGGTATATTTTACCAATCATTTAAAAAAGTTCTCATACATAATTATTTAAAAGCAATCCATAAAGGATCATTAGGAAAAGTGCCGAATTAGACGTGCAACTTCCTAAAGCATGAAGGAGAGTTCTGCAGGATGATACTGCATTGGCCATTAACAAAGGAAATTTCTTTCTTTTTCAAATTAACCATAACCTGACTCTTATTAGTTATAAATTATATAAATTACCAACATGTTTGTTGTTTTTATAACAAAACACGTATCGTCTCAATATAGTTCAAGCTATTTGGTAAATATATTTAGGATTATCCTATCCATTAGCAATAGTATGTCACATTAAATTTTCTTCCCTGTGATCCGGGAACACATTTTAACAATATTGAAAGGAAAAACTATTTTTGTTTTGTTTTTTTGGTCCACGCACCATAGGGTTGTTGTTAATTATATACACACTGAACGTGCACGTATGCATGCATGCATACATACATACATACATATACATACACATACACATATCTAGATAATTGTTTGCATATTAAATATAATCAAGTTTAGTTCACACCAGTCATAAAAATGTAAGCACTGTCATGCTCACTTCAAAATATCCTGTTTTTATCTCTGATCACGCAATTGTGGGGAATATATATATCTGTTTGTTAGTTGCAGCTCGCTTGAACTTCAGTGCACATCACTGGTTTTCTTTGTTTGGTCCATGTTTTTTTTTTTTTTTTTTTTTTTTTTTTTTTTTTTTTTTTTTACCCCCTCACAATTATTACAGTACTTTATTTCACCTAGAACTATTGCAAGCGTTTTAATTTGTGTAAACATTTTATATAAATTAAACATTATATAAACATTAAAAAGTTAAACATAACTTGTATAAAAATTAAAAGTTAAATATTTTCCAAGCAAGCAATTTAACTGAATTTCTTTATACTGTAAAGTGTAAAGTTATGTACAGAGGAGCCTCGATTAACGAATTTAATCCGTTCCGGCACCGAGATCGTCATGTGAAATGCTCGTCTTTCGAAACGAATTTCCCCATTTAAATTAATGGAAATAAAAATTAATCCGTTCCACCACCGAAAAACATCAATATTATATTCAATTTTTTATATAATGGAGCAGCCTACCTGACATACACTGAACGAACCTTTATAATATTTTTTCTTTTTCAAATTTTTTTAATTTTGTTTATTTTTCATTTTTTATTTTTTTTTTTTTATAGAAAATGAAGCAGCCTACCTAAAATATACTGAACGAACCTTTTTGACATTTTTTCTTTTTTCATTTTTTTTCAATTTTGGTTTATTTTTTTATTTTTTTTATTTTTATCATAGAAAATGGAGCAGCCTACCTGACATACACTGAACAAACCTTTTGACATTTGTTCTTTTTTCAAATTTTCTCATTTTTTTTATTTCTAAAAGAAAAAACTCTTATGCTTTGAAACATTACAGCAGTCACCCTTTACATCCCAGCATCATTAGCATCTTTTAAAAAAATAATTGATTTGCATCGTCGGAGACGTCCGAGAATTTGCGAGAACCAGCGGGAATGCTAGGAAGCACCACATGGTTTTCGTTAATGGAGCGGAAGCTCGTCAATCGAGACAAATTTTCGGCGAGTGGCTCACTCGTTACTCGAAATGCTCGTAGATGGAGCTGCTCGTCACTCGAGGTTCCACTGTACATGGTATTTTCTTGCTAATAATGTTTGTAAACTTTTCAGCAGTACAATACCACTATTCATTATGAATATGAAAACAATCGGCAGCAACTTTTCTAAATACGTACTGTATTTAAAAATTCATTGTTATGCATACAGTACTGTACAGTATTTAATTTCTCAGATATTTTGGACCCATCAATTAAGGAAAAATGTATTTTCATATTAAGTCTATTCTTATATAAAATATGGTCAAGAAACTTAATTAGGATTGCTTAAAATAATTTTGTTTGGGTTATATATTTGTAATGGCAATACAGTAAATACTTTAAATACCTAAAAATTAACTTTGATGTAATCTCTTTGTATGGTAGAAAAGCAACATTGTTAAATGATACGAGTAACTTTTATTACTTTGTAACTCATCAAAGTTTGCATCTCTCAATGCATTTTGATACTGAATTAAAATTATTTTGTATACTGAATAACTATTTTAATTTTAAACTGTAAATTGTATATATCAGCTCAGTAAATTAATGCATTTTGTATCAAATAGGGACTGTTCTGTCAGTGATATTGTGTTTAATGTCAAACTTCTTTCATGAATAGCATTTACCTGTAAATTTAAGTTCTCTGTGCACTATATTAATTATGGACACTATTGCAGCGTGTTGTTGATTGTGAACAACGGTGAAAAAGGTACTGAGACATATTTACACCATCATTATTGTCTTATGCAGTTTTACTGTTTTCCAGCACATTTTTTTTGCTGTGGTCTGTTGAATGTTATTCTTTTAGTTCACAAGTACCATATCCATATTGCAAGAGAATCTTAGGAATTGGTAGTGTTGTATAGAAGTAAATGTTTGGCTTTGATTCTTATATATTTATTAGCTTGAATATTATTGTATATTTTAAAGTTTGGTGATATACTCGCAAACAGAGAGTCAGCCAATGTAAAATGGATTGGCTTTTCTGCTGATATGAACAAGACTGCATAAAATGTGGCTTCTTTGATTGACTGTAGCCTCTTAAGTTGTGAGCTTAGCTTTATGTGCATCCCATTAGATTGTCGCTTGGGAACAATTGCTGCTCACCCTGTACGCTTGACAGCCGATACAATATCACCATATTCTTACAATACGAATATAAACACGAGCATAATTATATATGTGTGATCATATATGATGCAGTGCATACAGACTACAAGAGCTCTAATTTTGATGAAGAGCATGGCACAACAAGCAGTTGATCTATGGATGAGCCAACTAAAGTAAAGAGAAAACTGTGATAATTAATCAGAAAGTGAATTTGTTTAAGCTTCTCAAAGCTGAAAATCTAGTTATAGAGAAAAATGAAGTTCAAGTTCTTGGCATTATATATGATCGTTCTACTATATGGATTTCGTTGTAAGTTGTAATAAACATTGCTTGTCATTCGTATTCAAATATGTGAAAGTTATAGGTCAATGTATGTTTAAATGGTCAAGAAAAATAACCCCCAAAAAAACAAATAAAGGGATAAGGATAATAAGTATGCAGTACTTTGAATATAAGTGACAAAGCCTGCATCTGGTCCCCATTCATCAATACAACCTAAAGAGAATAGATTTTGAAATCTGTAAATTTTTAGGCCAAAAAAATTAATAAAAGTAACAACTTCTGCCACCTCTGGCTGATTAACTTGTTAACCAATTTTGGTCGAACTTCACATACATAGTGATGGGTATGAATTCTCCAAGATGTAAAAGCTACAACAAAATCAGATTATAACCAAAGGAGGAAAAAGAATTGTTGGACATTAGTGGAAATAACAGATATTGGCATTGGGCAATGCATTTATATGATGTATAACAAAATACAGCATAATAACATACTCATTATTATTTGTGTTATTATGTATTACTCAGCAATGCTAGAAAGGCGCCAGCTGCATATCCACTTTGTGGACCCTCCTTACTACTATTCTTCTTTTTGTGCGTCGGACAGGTGCTTGCATCTCTTTATTACCGCATTATCCCTCAGTTCCAGTTAATAGGAGCTGCAGCTCTTATTAACATGTTCTCCTTATCATCAGCACTTTTTTTTTTTTTAAATATTCGTATAAAAATCCATTTCTTAAAATATTGGGATGAAATTTTTACGACACTGATGCCAAATAATTGGATTTGTATAACATTTTTAAGTAATTTTCATATTATTCGAATATTTTTTCGTTTCCTGGCCCCTTAAGAGGTTGGAGAGTAGCACATAGCTTGCAACATGCTACGGGCGGGACAAGCCATCATCTCCCTGATATGCTTGGTATATATCTTCGTGTATCATTTGTGTATAGTTGCATGATAAACGTTGCTATAATGTCTGCACTTATAAGCATGTATGCATTTGGCATCTTAACAATATTTACTCCCTCTCAGTGGTGTGCTTTTCTTTCCTTTAATGATTGTCATAGAAACTTGTAGTTTATTTTCAGAATAAAATAGAAACATTGAGTCAGTTTGAAATATGTAGGCCATGTTCTTCCATGTGTGCCATAGAACATAGAACACTTACTTGTTATACTTTGAAAGTGGATATCACAAGTATGATTTTTGTGTAATATAATAGATGATTTTATGTTAGTATATACAGTACATTGTTGTAGAAAATAATGCTGCCCTCTGGCATTGTTAATGAGTAAAGGCTATCTGTTGGTGATTGGAAATTAATAGTTACTCGGCCTTACTAAGGTGTAATGTTTTCCTGTACTCACCTGTTTGACCTCCCTTGCAATATTTTAGGTTGCTTTGCTCTGTGTGAATTCTGGAATCAAGGGGGCCACGTCACCACTCAAACCGGACCAATAACGGGATATAATCTTGCCTGAGGAAGTTGGAGGTCGAATGCCATCTGATCAGATTATTCTTCCACTTTGTCTTTTGGGGATTGTCTGGTTTCTGGGGCCTTAAATCTGACACAATATATGATCTAATGCTTGCATAATTTTTCAAGGACACTTTAGTCTGTAGCAGTAATGACTTTATATCAAATAGCATATTATTAACCAGTAATATAATGGGGAAAGATAAATTAGATATACAAAGAAATATATAAATTAGATATATATGTGTAAAATATGTATGTGCTCATAAAACATGAGTGAAGTACATATATAAGAAGGGGAAGAGAATGAGATAATGGGACTGAGAGAGAATGAGATAGAATATGAACAAATGAATTAATAAGATAGAATATGAATAAATGAATGAAGGATAGTGAAGGAGATAGAAAAAAGTGGTATTTTTCATATTAATAATGAAAGAGTTGTGTTATTTTCACATTTTCTTTATTTCTGCGTAAACAAGTATTTATATACCGAGCAATTTAGATATATTTTGAAAGAGAGAATGAAAAGGATTTTCTTTTGTGTTTATGTGTGTGAGTGTACATGTGAGTATGTGCAAGTGTGTATGCGTGTAATATAAGATACAATATAATGAATTAAATTCACTCTTAAGTATTTTTATACGGTACTGTAATTGGAAAGTAAAAACTTGTGATTTATTTTAACTCTCAAGTAATTTCATTACTGGTACAAGATTGACTAGAGTGTTCTCTATTTATAATACTTTTTGTCTTTTTAATTTTGTATTTAAATATAAATTTTAGATATAACTTTATAATCACATTCCTATACTAGCACTTTTGTTATGTAGCTCTTATAGATTTCTGTACTGTAGTTCTTGCTTTGGAAGCCTTTTGTAGTGTCATTATTACAATGAAATTATGTTTAAGCTTGTAATGTGAGATGCAGATTAAGGTGTCACATTATATGCTGAACACACGGATATTTCTGGGGCAGCTCCTTGTGACTCCCCAAATGCGTTGCATCAGCTCCTTGGCTGATGTGACGCATTCGGGGCACCATCGAGCTCACCCAGAAATCAGCGTTTTATTACATTCAATGCTGTTTTTTTTATTTTTAAGTACATTATTTAATTATTTTTTTCACTAAATAATTTATGCCATGAAAATATATTTATGATTTTAATTGCTTAACAGATATACTGTAATACAGTATAGTCTTAATAAAATTCTATGAATTAACCTCATTATAAATCAATATTATACAGTACTTATGATCCATAATTAGTTACAAAAAATGTAGGCATTTGCCCTCTCCAGCTTAGTGGCATTGTTGTGGAAAAGCTTCCTTAATAACAGTCTTGCAAGTTACATCTCATTCTGATGTGTGTGTGTGCATATTGTATTTTACAGGGGAATGTCTATTGTGCGTGCAGATGGCTGACCAGATGCCGTTTGTTTAGAATTGCTTGATTGCCTGCCATTACAGACTTCCATTCAATGACCAAATTCAGCTGATCATTGGCAGATTAAAAATGACTAAATTGTTAGAGGTCTTCTCTTATTTTCACATGCTACATAGCCTTTCCGGCTTGGTGCCTTCTTTGATAATTACTTACTTAATCTTATTTTCATTGTTAATGGGAGCAAGATTTACTCAGTCTTTGTGTTATAGAATATGAGCATAACTTGGCCATGATTTCTACAGCTTCTACAGTGATACAGTATTGTAAAAACTAGTAATTTATTTTCATGTAGAGAAATACCCAGAGTAGATTATATTTGTAGATCAAATAGTCTTCAAATATAATCTCTACTTTTACCCCTCTGTGTTTCCACTACGTCATTGTCAACACTTGTGCTCTCCTCAAGCATCAATCCCTATGCATAGGTTCTTCATAGACTGTTTCATCTTCTAGTGCAGTATAATGTATGTATGCCTAAAATATGTTGACCAGACCGCACACTAGAAGGTGAAGGGACGACGACGTTTCGGTCCGTCCTGGACCATTCTCAAGTCGATTGGCCCTTCACCTTCTAATGTGTGGTCTGGTCAACATATTTTAGCCACGTTATTGTGACTCATCCCCTGCATATGTATGCCTACAGTACGTGACTACACTCATGAGCTTTACTCCTAAAGGCTTTACTATTGCCACATTAAAATAGCGTTAGCAATAACTGTTTTTCCTGTGTATAATATGCAGTATTGAGTAACTGAGGGCAGATAGGGTTTAGTGAATAATAAATATTTAGTAAGTTTAAGCTAATTTGGAACTCTTGCGTCACTTCCAATTAAACACACATTAAATCACTGTGACAGAAGAGGCGGAAAAATTTGAGCATTATGGATTAAAAAAAAAAAGGAGATAATTTTGCATGCTAAGAATGTGCCTACTATCATTATATAGTGTGTATAAAATATACAGTATGGTAGTGTATTGTAGTACCATGAAGTTTAATACTGTGTATGGTTTGAATTACTCAAACACTTCATAGTGTTTCACCTTTTTTTTTTTCTGTAATTGTATTGCTTGGCTTTTTGGTTTAAGTTATTGGATCATGCACAGTAGATTGACACTATGGCAGTAGTATTTGACATTGCTAGTTGAAGAAGTGGCAGATAATCTTGAAAAACTTGACTTCTAGGCATCAATGAATTTAAAACATTAATGTTGGTAATGTGATATTTGGACAAGTATAAATTGTTCTATATCTGCCCCATGGAATATTATATACCTGTTGGAACAAGTTAGGTGAGAAGGTAGTGTGTGGCCAAGACCGTCGCTAGTTTCAAAGCATTATATGACAAAGAGTGCTGGAAAGACGGGACACCACGAGCGTAACTCTCATCCTGTAACTACACTTAGGTAATTACACACACACACACCATTTGATTGACAGTTGAGAGGCAGGACCAAAGAGCCAGACCTCAACCCCCACAAGCACAACTATGTGAGTACAACTAAGTGAGTACACATATACACATACATATACTTAAATATACAATGAAAACATTCACAGTGAAAATTATTGTACATAATGTATTTTAATTTTATAGATTTTTACTAGTACAGTATATGCTTTATTTTATAATAATAGCTCCTAAATTTGTTTTAAACATTTTTATGCACATATACTGTACACAAAAATAAAAGCTAACAAAATTAGAGGTCCTATATAGTTACCCAGTACAGTATTAGTATTTTTCTAATGTGATATTTTATTGTAAAATTGTGCTTGATGAAATTAGTTAATACTTGAAGTTGAGCGTAAAATAACGAAGGCAGAAGTGCTGGATACAGTGGATAATATATATATATACCTTATTAAATATTTGTATTGCTTCAAAACATATTTAAAATTACGAGTCATTGACTTTATGATGTGCCACGCTCTTGTTGTCCTGGAAGATGATCTGAGCTATTTGGTAGTTTTTTTTTAAGCAGCTATAATGTTCAGTTGTCACATTTCAATCCTAAAAGGATTACTAGGTTCGTTTTGTTCGAAGCACTCTATTAGTATGCCATAGTGAGCATTTGTATGCAAACTCTGACTTTACCAGGATAAAATTAATTTAAATTCAAATGAAGGTGATTCATTTAAATGGAAAGTCATTTTTTTTTTTACCTTCATGATTCCATGACATTACTGTAATATTTTCTCTCGCAGAGTCCAAAATGCCCGTATCCACTATTGCCAATATGTAGGCAGTAACAATCACGAGTACAGGTAGCATAAACAAAAATTCTTAGATGAAAATAATTTTGAAGAGGTTTCATTTCTTCACAATGTTACGCACTTTTTTTTTTTTTTTTAACAAATTTAAGTACATGTCAGGAACAGTGTTAATGTATCTTGATCCTCAACACACCTATGAAAAGCCGGTGGAGCATTAGTCTCGTATGTTATGAATTCTCTCGTTATTTTTCAGCTTTCATTATAGTATATCTGCAGTTTAATATTCAAAATCGTATTGCTGAATATCAGTGCAGTATTTTATTTGCCAATCTTCTGATCAAGATTATTTTCTACTTTTAAGCCAAATTACTTTCCTTTTCAAATCCAGATTTCTTCCCTCTTCTAATACAGATTTCTTCCCTCTCCTAATCCAGATTTCTTCCCTCTTCTAATACAGATTTCTTCCCTCTCCTAATCCAGATTACTTCCTTCTTCTAATCCAGATAAGTATTAATAATGTAGCAGGAACGTCTTCACAAGATTGCATCATGCTGTAACAGCAAAATATATTTAAGATGTGGGGAATTTCATTAAAGTAATAATTTCTAATCATTTTAATTTAATTCATTTAAATATTAATTATCTGGCCTGTGAATGTGCTGGGCATCAATAACTGCTTTGCTACCAATACTGTTTCCTAATTCCTATGAAATGCTCGACACAAAAGTAAACGGATGTCGCCTGGTGCAATGATGATGTTTTTATACCTGTACAGTATTGCTTGTAAAAAGTTGTATTGATGAGCATATGGGCATTTAGGTATATAGGACACTTATCTTACAATATCCCAGAATTCTGGTAAAAAGTATAATATAATCATGCAGTTTAATATATAGTATAGAATAGTCCCACAAGATGATGACAGATTGATGCATTGGGGGATTTAAAACATGCAGTTTTGCATTACTCCATTTGGCATTTCCAAATAGGTTGTATACTGCTACCTGTTGCTGTGAAATATGGCTTTTCAGTCTCTTGGTTTCTCATTTAATTTACCTTTCAAGTCTATTTATGCAAAGTTGGTATTAGTTTTCATATTTTTTATACCTGTATTTAGTTTCCTGTCAGTTAAAAAATTGGAAATACAATTAATTAAGCCACTCTCATCTATTAGTACTGTATCTTGTCACTATTATTAAATTTGAAGTATGACTTTGGATGCTCATTCCATTCTCTAATACAGTACCCAAGTGACATCTTGACGTGTAAAGAAAATTTATATAAGGCGATGAGAGGATAAATTTATCAGATTGAATTATCAGCTCCTTTTGTTGTAACTGTAAAGTAGAGATACCAGCTTTTTATTATGTAACATATGTTGTCATATGTAAGATTAAGCTTGTTAATAAATCCATTGATAGCAATGCTCATTATGACTTTCAAAAATAGTGCAGTAACCAGTATTAACCAGACTAATTATAACGAGTAAGGCAAAATTTAGCCAAATTCTGTGATTATTTTGTGCTACCTGATTTTAGTATACCATTAGTGTAAGATGCATGCTGCCTAAAGATGCCAAATTGAGTCTCATGAAGTTCAGTAAAAGTATCCTTCAAATTCATCAATGTTGTGATCCTCATCTTTCACAGGTAAGATGCTGTATGTTAATTTGTAAATGTCTTCTGGACTTCCAGATGTGAATCTCATCCGTCCAATAAATATTTGCCTTAAAAGCAAATGGGTTTTAGTAGTATTTGTACAATTGTGATGTTGTAGGCTGTAATATTTTGTATATGTATATAAACGCTATCCTAGTAATGTGTATTGTCACTTTATGAATAAATATTTTATGTCAGCTTTGGCTTTTCTGTGGTACAAGACAAGTGAAAGTCCTCTGCACTGTACCAGTTGCAGAATGTACAGTATAATGTTGATAATGTACAGTGACAGAAGCTGGCTGCCTTACATCTAGTACAAGAAATAGTGCCACAAAGGACAAGATTACATTTAATTTTGAAAAGATATAATTTTGCAGAAGTATTTTGAGAATGTGCACAGTAGGTTTCATGTTAAATAATGGACTTATTCATTTGATTATGCATACTGTATATACATAATATTTCTTAGTAGGCTTTGTATTGCAGTGCAAGGTTAACCCCATTAATTGTGATGGAATCACTTTGATTATTCAGTGCAGTACTTAACGTATTCCTGTGTTGTGTTTTATACATGTCCAAGCTTCAAAATGTGGCTTTAGCATACACGAATGATGACCTAAATAATGAATACAGCAGTACAGTATAGGTCAGTTATGTCTCCAGCAATACTGTAACACATTTGATACCGTAGGATCTTGGTATAGATAATGGAAAATACTTGATATAAATATATTAAATGCATTTTAGTTTGCTTTTAATAATAGTTTTATTTTGACCCTCATACATTTAAATGTAGTGTACCCTATTTTCATAATAATGTTAGAGCACTACTACTCAGTATTACTAAAATCACAGACCAGCTCCTGCTGCTTTGAAGAAAATATAGCAATTGATACCATTGTTTTGAAATATCACTACTATTTTAGCTCTTGAGAAATAGCTATACAAATTAGCCATTTCTCAAACAGGACTTCTCTTTTGTTTCTGTTCTATGCCACAAACTATGTTAAATAGTCTTCTTTTTATAATTAGAGTATTTCTGCTTAGAGAAGGGATACAACACTAATACACATTGGTGACAAAAGTAAACTATACAATATTCAAGTTAATAAATTTATTGATGTGGATATCATTGATATGGATTATGGGGACCTGACGGCTGAGTGGACAGCGCTCGTGGTTCGTAGTCCTAAGGATCCGGGTTCGATCCCCAGCAGAGGCAGAAACAAATGGGCAGAGTTTGTTTCACCCTGATGCTCCTGTTCACCTTGCAATAAATAGGTACCCGGGAGTTAAACAGCTGCTATGGGCTGCTTCCTGGGTATGTGTGCAAGTGAAAATTAGGATTAATGAATTGCCTGAAATGCTATGCATGCTAGTGGCTGTACAAGAATGTAAGAACTCTTGTATATATAAATAAATACAAAATAAATAAGTAAAAAGTTAATAATGCTGATGTAATTAAACACTTATGATAATTGAAACTGCCTGGAAGGCAGCCAATGTGGTCCCAGTATTCAAGAAGTGGAAAAGTTCTCTTATTATAGTTACAGTTCTAACTATTATCTGATTAGCTTTATGTTTATAGTGGGAATGTTCTTGGAGGCTATAATAGTGAATTCAGTAAGAAAAGCACATTATCTGATAAAGGACTTTCAATGTGGCTTCTTGTAGAAGTGAGCTTGTCTCATACTGTACTATATTTTGCCTTGTTTCCATAAGATGCTCTAATCAGGCAGGTTGAAGCCCATGGCATTACTGAGAAATTATTCTAAAACTTATCAAATCCTGAATAAAGGATAGGAAGTAGAGATTGCATAAACAGGGTGTGGAGTGGAGAAATATCACTAATGGTGCAACAACAATCACAAAAACTGATCCAAGTATAGTATGCGGAAAAACCACATTTGAAAAATAGAGAATGCTTAACACGTTTTTGGCTTAATTTGCCTTCATCAGAGCAAACTAGAATGAAGGAAGCTTCATTCTACTTTGCTCTGATGAAGGCGAATTAAGCCGAAAACGCGTTAAATATTCTCTATTTTTCAAATGTGGTTTTTCCGCATCAGCCAAGTAGACCATACCAACCTACCAGCACCAGGGGGTGGGTCCTACCAACACCAGAAGGTCCACCAGCATCAGGGAGGCCCACCAGCTGTCTACATGTATTTGTTAAGCCTTTGAATAGCCACTAACTGGAGGGTAGGGCCCATTTGACTGTTTTGGCCTCGGACCCAAAAACGGTTAGAACTGGCCCTGAGTCTTTTCAGTACTCTGTAATATGACATTTTGAAACTACTTATGGTTTTGAAAACCTGCTACCTTTTCACTTATTCCAATTGTTTACCACTCTGTATGCAAAGGAGATCTTTCTAATATTTTTTTGCACATTTGTTACCGTAGCAGAAATCAATGAGCTTTTGCTATTGAAGTTGCAAGTTTCAAGAATGCCCCTGTCAATTCTGTCGATTTCTGTTACTATTTTGTATGTTGTGATCCTATCACCTCTTTTTCTTATATTATCGAGCTTTGGCATATTTAATGCCTCTAGTCTCTCCTCATAGCTCTTGTTTTTTTTTTTATTCCAGAAGCCATTTCTTTGCACCTTTTACAGTTTTTATACCTTTGCACCTTTTACAGTTTATTGGTGTTCTTCTTGAGATATGGGCACCATACAACTGAGCACCAATTGTGCTCCAATATGGGCACTAATATGCACCAGGCATATTCTAATTTAGGTCTCACAAAAGATGTGATTTTTTTTTTTTGTATTCTACTGTCCTTGTATTTTAAAAGCAATTCTGAAATTGGAAAGCATGTCATGCACTCCTTGCACAGCGTCCTTCGTGTTCCTCTGGTGACAGTCTACTGTCCACGACTACCCGTAAATCTCTTTCTTTGTCAAAGTTTTTTTTAATGCCTTTCTACACAATTTGTAGGTGATTTATGATCTATTTTCTCTTATTCCACATTCCATAACATGGCATTTATTCACAATGAATTCCATTTCCCAAGTGTTGCTCCATACACCTATTTTGTCCAGCTCATCTTGAAGAGCATGACAATTGTCTTAGGCCCTAATATTCCCAGGGGATGTGTTTTGGAATCTTTTTTTTTATAATATGCTATTTGGGATTCTGGGCTGCCCCAGGGACTCTCCAAATCACTCCCTTCCCCCCTACTCTCATCTCTCTTGTCCTATCACCCCTTTACTTCCACTCTCCCCACCTCCCTCTCCACCTTTTCTCCCTCCCCCCTCCCACCAGAATACCCTCTCGTTTCCACTACAACCTCTCCACCTTTCTCCATCCTCTCTCCTAATCTCCCATTTCTCCCAATCTCCTCCTGTGACCTCTTCTCATCTCCTTCCCTAATATTTTATTCTTTCTAAAGTTATTGCAACACTTCAGGAACATCTTACAGACAGCTCTGAAGGGTCTAATGGCTGGACATCAAATACAGTAACGTAATGTTTAAGAACATTTTTTTATTAACACATTAAGGTACATATGCATTTGTGCAGCTACCCCCCTAGACTATATGAAGGGGAGTATAGAATGTGTCAAAAACAAGCTACGTGATGCTAAAAATCCCCATCACACAGGATAGTCAGTCATACAGACCAAGCGGGAATATTAAAACTCTACGGAAAACACAACCCCTGATTTTATTTCAGGCCATGAAAATTGTTAGATTTGATCATTTTGATAAACCTTGAAAGGCCATAGTCTCAAAAGATCAGCTCAGTGAGTAAAGTAATTAATACGATTAATCAATACCTATGGACAACTGCTGTTAGTAGTAACCAAGCATTAAAAGATGAACTGGATTTTCAGTCACTGAAGGAAATTGTACAGTATTGGTAGGGAATCCGCAATAAGATCAGTAACGTAATACAATAGTCCGAGAACATTCAAACCGATGTCATAGTGCTGCAGGAGACACTGACATATAAGGCGTTGACTTTAAGCCAACGTTATTCAGCGGTTATCAGTTTTCCCTACCCCATGGTGAAAGAAAAATGGGGTATCAATACTTGGGTACGTAACAATATAGCCTTCTAAGATCATTAACGATCTCCACATGAAGGTTGAATATGAATACCCTGGGGGCAACACTACTCCTCAGCAACAACGCATTACATTAATCATTCTATATGTGCCACAGAAAAGGACACATTACCAGATACCAGACTGTGAATGCTGATCGGTGGTGACCTTAACGCGAGGAACCCACTCTTTGATGCTAACTGTAATCAACCAGATTATAATAGAAGGTACCTGTCCCTTTATTTTCGAGGAAGTGAAAATATTAGTCGTGGGTGATGGCCAGATAACACACATCTGAGGAGGGAGACAAGACTAGTCACTTCTGCTAAACGGACAGGTTAGAGATGCCAGCACACAGATCAGAAACATCAGAGTGGAGAGAGGTTACGAGAGAGAGGTTACTTTGTGGAGTACCACAAAGATCGGTTCTAGGCCTCATCCTGTTTCTAATATATGTCGATGGCCTCAGAAAAGGAATTTGCTCCTTCATATCAGTGTTTGTAGATGAGGTAAAACTAATGAGAAGAGTCGGGTCAGGGCTAGATTGTGATGTATTTCAAGCGGATTTGGACACACTCCAGAAGTGGCTGAAAATGGCTGCTAGAATTTAACCCAGTCAAATACAAAGTTTTGAGGAGTAGAACGGGAATGTGAAGGCCAGTATAGCAGTATAGGATGAAGGCAAGACAAATTCTTCAGCCAGAAAAGGTGAAAGACCTGGGAGTGTATATAACCCCAAATCTGATGCCAGAAGCCCACATCAGCAGAACAACAGCTGCGTGTGGCATACTTGCCAACATCCGCATACCCTTCAGAATCTTGGACAAAGAGGCTTACCAGGCCCTATATACAGCGAAGGTGAGCAGAGCCCCACGTTCCACGAATGGTAGGGAACAACCCTCAAAAGAAGAAAACTAAATAGTATGAAAAATAAAGAAATAAAAGCAAGATCGAGTTTCGGAGACATCCCACTAAAAGAAATAGTGAATTCTTCAATATTGTATCAAGTAAACAGGGAAGAGAGGATTAACTAAGGAAAGACAATTGCTTGACTTTACAAGCTCCATCGAAGGAGAAACATCTGCAAAACGTATGGGCAAAAATCCAAAAAGTTGAAGGGAGCCGAGCACGACCCGTCGCGCGCACACT